CAACATTTCATTACTCCAATCTCAAACTGTCTCCAATACAGCAATTCCTGAATTACAGGGCACAAACTTCCACATAAAAAGGTGGGGTTGGATTAAAAATTATTTTGAGACAGACAGTTGGTTTGACCATGAAAAGGAAAATTTACCATATATGGCAAACAACACAAAAAATAGGTATTCCCTATGATGTTGGGATAAGCCATTTCTGAACCAGGAAACCAAGAGCGACATTGAATACTTTAAGCTATAGGCTGCACCTCTCAGGGGCTGAACACTGTTCAGAAGTAACTACCTCAGAACTGATGACACACAACACTAGGGCACTGAATATGCCCTTTATTTTCCATAGAAATTATAAGACAACAAGAAATTAGAGGAGTTCCATACAAAGAAGTGAACGCGCATAACTCAAGATGTAGTGTAGGATAGTTGTATTGCCTTAAGAGTTCTGCTAAGTACACTTAATTTTCCAATTTTAAGGAAGAGTCAATTCTAATATAGAAAGCTTCAGAAAAACTTAGTAATTGCAGAGTAACTTCAAAATACATCCAGTTCTACATCCTCCTGCATATATCTAATCACATCCAACAGATAAAAAAATCATGTGATAAAGAGTGTTAGAAAAGAATTTTCACACCCATGAGCTTATTACCAAATGTTCACCCATTTGTCAGTGGATAATATTAAGAAATTCATACTAACAGTTATGGCAACAAGATGACAACGCACATAAGTGCTGCGTGTTCTGAAAGGTAGTCAGTTTTAATTACCATGAATTGCTACCATCTATCATACCTCATTCTATACAAGATACCACGCCAGCTACCAATCCATAAACAATAATGTTTCACATATTTCATAGAGTAGCTTAAAACACATGGTGATATGAAATAATTTGTATTACATAGTAATTTAATCCCTGGTCACAGGGTTAATGTTGGACAAAGTCTGGAAACTTTTCTTCCAATTTGAATTACATACATTAACTTTGGCACACACCACAGCACTAATGCATGTGTTACTTCAGACATGCTCTAATTTAAAATCAAAACAAGAGTTGTTGCAAAAATACATGTCACCAATGTGGAACACACTCAAGATTGTATAAAAAGTACTGAACTGATATCCCAAAACAGGTATATTTAAGCAGTACATAAGGAAAGATTAGTTTTAATATGAAACAGTCATTTAAGTCACATACAACATGATAAGAAGCATGACTTCCTTTTTTAAAAATGTTACACCAATACTGTTACTGCCAGGCAATGTTTATTTATAAAATGAAAGGGACATATTTAACGCAGATGTGTTATCGTATTAAGACGGAATAAAGACAAATCTTAAAAAGGTGCCACATTTGAACACCACTGATTTTGTAAAAATCTCAAACCATAGAAAGTATTTCACTTGCAAGTATCACAGGCCCCGAACTGCAAACACTTTGAAGGGTTCTCGACTGCGTGTGTGCAGTTCCACTGACTTCGGTAATTCTCACATGCTTCAAGCTAAGCCTGAAAAATGTGATTACGGAAGTGGTTCTTAGATGAAAAGCCTCAGAGGTCACGGAGTACACGCTTCTTCCAGCAGCCCCCCAAATTATATTTTTGTTTTAAATAGAGCAAACTTACTTTCTCCTAGTCTCTTTTAACTGAAGACCTCGAACAATAACTGGGCCTCTAACCACCCGCAGAAGTGTTAGTCCGATCTTCTGAAAGAAGAGGTGAAGGCACAAACAGTTAACCTGCCTCTTGCAAGCTGTAGAAGCGATTGGTAGACCAGCCAGAAATGGGATTTTTGATACCTACCCTCTAGCCTGTATGCAGGACTGTCCCTTACCCTGACACCAATAAAATTTTAAAGAGCAAATTACATATTTTCTCATTTGAAACTGGTCTCTGGCAAAAACCCTTAAGTATTAAGGGCAGTTTAATCCAGTTTATAACTATTTATTTCAGCCAGGGCCAGGGGTGGGAGGGAAGAGAACATTTTGGGCAATATAGGCTGCATTTCTGACCATAACAAGGAGCTATTTAAAAAGGGAACAGGCATTTCCCACAAAAATGTTAAGGTTTATAACATTTACAAAATCCTTGCAGTATTTTTGGTGAGCAGCACCAGTGCAGTCTAAATCACTAGTAATGAAAGAAGCACATGATAGTTCAATACAAATTGTTTCATGTAGAGAATTACAAAAAATCTCACCTATTCTAATCAACCCTC